CAAAACCTGTACGGGGCCGTATGTGTTACCCGCGGGTACGAAATTTGGAAGGCTGAATTTAAATTTCCTGAGTTGCACGTGGGCAGGGGACATACCCATAAAATTTCAGCTTCCTAGTTTCCGTAGCTCCCGAAGTAACGCTAAAAGTTTCAAGAGGAGATAGATGATACCCAAGAGCGTGGGAACAGTGGATTTGCAAGGCAGTACGTGCGCAGGGATCATTATCCTAAAATTTCAACTTCCTAGATTCCACGGTCCACGAGATAATAGTTTACCCGCTAAAAGTTTCAACAGGCGGTATATGTTACCCACGGGTACAGGAAGGATGAATTTGAGTCTTCTGAGTCGCATTTGGGCAGGGATCATTACCCTAAAATTTCAGCTTCCCAGCTTCCGTGGTTCCCGAGATAATGATTTTACTCGCCAAAACTTTTACAGAGCCGTACGTTTTACTCGCGGGTACGGGAAGACTGAATTTAAATCTGCCGCGTCACACGTTAGCAGGAACACTGTACTAAAATTTCAGCTGCCTAGCTTTTGTGGTTCCCGAGTTGAAAGTGCGAGATAAAATGTGGGGAACACACACACACACATACACGCACATAGACAATCCCGTGACAATATGCGTTTTGTACTGCTGTTACACAGCACAAAACGCATAAAAAGTGATTTATGTCTATATGGTTAAAATGTTTTTGGGCTTAAAAAAATGAGCGTATGCAGGACAAAAGTGTTTTGTTTTTCGGCTGATCAGTTCTATATAGATAGTTATCCTGAATGCTACCTCTTCTGCAGGTCTTCGAATCGCTGGGAAAGAATGAAAAAATGGGCCTAGGCGGTCGGCCGCCGCGACCATTCGGCCCGCTCAATACTAGCAAAATTTTTAAAAGGTTCGGCGATACCATTCTTTGCTATCCACTGTTATTCGAACTGAAGGACTTTTATATCAGTGCTGATCCGGCTGTTTTGATTGATGAAATAAAGGTAATTTATCGTTTCTGTTTTCGGGTCTTTTATAAGATACGCAGAATCATGCTATTTCGAAAGCAAACTCATATTTCAGCCAGTTTAGCGCCTGTATGAATTGGTCCGTGAAATCTAACACTTTTTGGAGACGGGCGGGGAGGAGGGAGGGGGAAGAGGCTGCGACCTAGAGAATTTCATACTCGGGGTTTATCACATTTCATGCTGCGAAACATTTAAAGAAATGTAGACGTCAGTAGCTTTTATGATTGATTTTGGTGTCAAAATGAGGCTAGCAGTACAAATTGCACTCAA